AAGATCTGAAAGCGGAAAAAGAACCAAAGAAGGGCAGTTCAAGTGAACAAAGGGTGGGTGGAAGGTGCTGCAGCATGAATACTGTACAAATATTTTGACTCTGGTCTGAAAAGATAAAAGAATGTTATGGAAAACTACATGGAATAATTGAAGTCACTTTAAGCTTGAAAGTAAACATTTTAGGACAAATGAAATTCAACTTTGTACTTGTAGAAACTCATCTGTAAATATGAATAGATTTATACTGATTCATGGATAACAGGTCCATAATAAATTACTGGAAACTAGGATGTCTGAATATCAAGGAAGACAGTCATAGTCTCTTACAGTGCCTATGTTGGTCTGTCTCAAACTCAATTGGGTGGGAAAAGATATGGTCCAATATAAAAGTTTCACTTCGCCATGACTAGCAAATTTTGCCTTTCTTTATTTTGGTTCCAGTGTTTTCTGCTTAAATCATTTGCTTTGTTGGCAACTGTGTTTATTTACTTGTACAACACATGCAGTTTACATTTTCCTTAACTACATTCCTTCCCAAGTAAATTCCAATTATATTTGACATCCAGCTAAGAGAGCCCATCTCTTGCTCACCTCTATCCTAGTCAGTATGTTCAACAAATATTTACTGAGCCCTTACTGTGGGCAAAACATTGTACTGGATAATTGAGGAGAAAAACAGATTAACTCCCTTACTCAGTAAATGTCTACTGAGCAAAATCTAGTAAATCATTATAATATGACCTCATTGTTCTGTTTGAGGTGTATTATTCATAACAATACTTTATACCATTCATATCTTAATGGAATTATAGAACCCAGGTAAATGGTTACCTGCCATTAAAAGTATCCAGTATTTGTTTGATTCCATTATTACAAATAATGGAAAAAATGCTTTGTTTTAATCTGTAATAAGCAGTTTATTGTGCCATGACTGTCATATACTAGAGTTAATATTAAAATGTTGACTCTGCCTCACCAAACACATACTAGGAAGTAATCCCCAAAATAAGTATTTAACTTTGCATTAGATATAAAGGAGACTGGGTGCTATAATTAGATTATTTTGAGGCTGACAGCTGTTACCCCAGCTGATTTAGTATGTTCTGTAACTGAAAAAATGTCACCAAATTTTACTTTTTAGTGATTTACATGTACATTTTATAGGGGACAAGTTCTGTATATAGTGAATAAATAACTTTTATAGTTTTTTAAAAAAGCCAACGTGAGAAACAATGAGACCTCATCTCAACAAATATAAAAATTTTAAAAATTAGCTAGGGGCCAAGCACAGTGGGTCACTCTGATGGGCTGTTATTCTAGTACAGTTAGAGCAACATAAAAAAAAAAAATCAACAGACAACACGTTGGGTAGCAGTAATTCTAAGAAGAAAATAAACAAGGATGATGTGATAGTCATGGGAGAGGAGGTGCTACTTTAGTCAGGGAAGGTCTCTCTGATAAAACAAAATATGAGACTTCTGAGGAAAAAATGATTACAAAGAGAAGAAAGCAAGTACAAAGGCCCTGAGGTAGAAGAATACCTTACGTGTTAAAGAAATAGCAAAGCTCATGTGACCTAGAGAAAAGTGAGCAGGAGTGGTAAGACATTACATAAAAGAAGTGAAAGCAAAGATTTTGCAGGGTTTTACAGGCCACCGTAAAGGTTTGGGGTATTGTTCTTAATAAGATAAGAAATTACTGAGCACATGAATGACATGTTCTAATTTACTCAAGTTGTCCCTCAGTATCTGTGGGGGACTGGTTTCAGGACTCTCTCAAAACCTGTGGATGTGAGAGTCCCTACTTAAATAGCAGAGAATTTACACTAATCTACACACATCCTCCTTATACTTCAAATCATCTCTAGATTATTAACAATACCTAACACAGTGTAAATACTATACATAAAGAGTTGTTACACTGTATTTTTATTTGCATTATTTTTATTGTTGCATTGTTATTTTTTATTGGATTTTTTCCAAATATTTTTGATTTGCAGTTGGTTGAATGCAAGGATACAAAACCCATGGGTATAGAAGGCCAACTGTAATAATTTTGTCTGCTCTGTGAAGAATAAAAAATAGATTCAAAGGGATAATCAAAGGAACAGCAAGACCACTTAGGAAGCTCCTGCAATCATCCAAGAGGTTAGTACTATAGGAATAGAAGTAGAAATAATGAAAAGTATCAAATTCCAGGTATCTTTCTTTTTGTATCGTTTCAGCATCTATACACATAAAAAAATTCTTCCAAAATGCTAATAACTTTTAAAAATATTGTTATAGAAATAAAAGTCTTTGGGAAAGTTTTTAAAAACACATAGCAACTGGAAGACTACACTTTAAGAGATGGTTACACAAATCTGTAAGAGATAGTGGCTATTAAGTGGGAAGACTCTAAAGTTTTTACTTCTTTTTTTTTTTTTTAGATGGAGTCTTGCCCTGGTGCCCAGATTAGAGTGCAATGGTGTGATCTCGACTCACTGCAACTTCAGCCTACCAGGTTCAAACAATTCTTCTACCTCAGCCTCCCAAGTAGCTGGGATTACAGGCACATGCCACTACACCTGGCTAATTTTTTTTATATCTTTAGTAGAGACAGGGTTTCAACATGTTAGTCAGGCTGGTCTTGAACTCCTGACCTTGTGATCTGCCCATCTCAGCCTCCCAAAGTGCTGGAATTACAGGTGTGAGCCACTGTGCCTGGCCAGTTAAGAACTTGTTTTTTTGTTTGTTTGTTTGTTTGTTTGTTTTATTTTTTTGAGATGGAGTTTCGCTCTTGTTACCCAGGCTGGAGTGCAATGGCGCAATCTCGGCTCACTGCAACCTCTGCCTCCTGGGTTCAGGCAATTCTCCTGCCTCAGACTCCCGAGTAGCTGGGATTACAGGCACGCGCCACCATGCCCAGCTAATTTTTTGTATTTTTAGTAGAGACGGGGTTTCACCATGTTGACCAGGATGGTCTCGATCTCCTGACCTCGTAATCCACCCACCTCGGCCTCCCAAAGTGCTGGGATTACAGGCGTGAGCCACCATGCCCGGCCCTATTTTTTTATTTTTATTTTTTTAAAGATGGGGTTTCACCATGATGGCCAGGCTGGTCTTGAACTCCTGAACCTCAGGTGATCCACCCACCTCGGCCTCCCAAAGTGCTAGGATTACAGGCGTGAGCCATTGCGCCCAGCCAAAACTTGTTTTGATTCTAGCTCAACCACTTACTGACATGAAAATTATAGCAGCATTTTTCTATGCCTCAATTTTCCCATTTCTCAAATGGGAATAATGATAGCTACCTTACAGTACTCCTGTGAGTATATGAAAATGAATATGAAGGCCGGGCGTGGTGGCTCAAGCCTATAATCCCAGCACTTTGGGAGGCCGAGGCAGGTGGATCATGAGGTCAAGAGATCGAGACCATCCTGGTCAACATGGTGAAACCCCGTCTCTACTAAAAATACAAAAAATTAGCTGGGCATGGTGGCGCGTGCCTGTAATCCCAGCTACTCGGAAGGCTGAGGCAGGAGCATTGCCTGAACCCAGGAGGCGGAGGTTGCGGTGAGCCGAGATCATGCCATTGCACTCCAGCCTGGGTAACCAGAGTGAAACTCGGTCTCAAAGAAAAAGAAAATGAATATGAAGAAATTAAGTGACATATGGTAACAACTGAACACAGCCACAGGTTCCCAGGATTACTGTTTCTCATTAATACTATTATTTGTAATATTCCTTTTAGAACTGGTTACATACTCATTTTAAAATTATCACAATAAAAATAAACTACAAGTGTTCCTAACATGTTATATATTTGATGACATGGTTTTTAATAGAAAACAGTTTCTGCTTTAGATATAAAAAAGCACTATAATTTGTATTATAACTTGATGGATCAATCCCTTAAGTATAATGAATTCGGATTTGCAAGAATTCAAAGCAATTCCTAGTAACATTTTTTCTTAACTTCAAAATTATAAAATTTAAAGATCTCAAAAATCAACAAAGAGTATGAGAAGAATAATTAAATATAAGCCATAATTATTTGGACTTTTTGTTTAGTTTTATTTGGTCACATTCATGATTTTACCATGTTGTATATCTGTGTGTACCAGTTAGGTTCACGAGATAAACTCGTTAGGGTCAAATATTTAATGCCCTTTCATATTAGCAATGTTAATATTAAAGATATATAAGACAGGCCGTGCGTGGTGGCTCACACCTGTAATTTCAGCATGTTTGGGAGGCTGAGTTGGGCAGATCAGTTGAGGTCAAGAGTTCGAGACTAGCCATGGTGAAACTCCATCTCCACTAAAAACTCAAAAATTAGCCAGACATGGTAGCGTGTGCCTGTAATTTCAGCTACTCCGGAGGCTGAGGCAGGAGAATCACTTGAACACAGGAAGCGGAGGTTGCAGTGAACCAAGATCATGCCACTGTATTCCAGTCTGGGTGACAGAACAAGACTATGTTTCAAAAAAAAGATACATAAGACAATGGCAGACAATACTTGCTTCTGGGAGAAGATAAGGGGAGACAAAAAAGAAAGGAAAGACATACTTTGCAATTAAAACCTCTGGCATGGCCAGGCACAGTGGCTCACACCTGTAATCCCAGCACCCTGGGATACCAAGGCAGGTGGATCACCTGAGGTCAGGAGTTCAAGACCAGCCTGGCCAACATGGTGAAGCCCCGTTTCTACAAAAAATACAAAAATTCCCCAGGCATGATGGCAGGTGCCTGTAATCCCAGCTACTCAGGAGGCTGAGGCAGGGAATTGCTTGAACCCAGGAAGCAAAGGCTGCAGTGAGCCAAGGTCATCCCACTGCATTTCAGCCGGGGAGATAGAGTAAGACTCTGTCTCAAAACACAACAACAACAGGAAAAAAAAAACCCTCGGCATTAACTTTTCAAGAAAATAAAACATTGTTCAAAGAAAAAAATTTATTTTACTAACAATTATAACTCAATTGTTTAAATGTCCCATAGGTCACCATAATGGCAGCTTACCAGATTGAAGATGCCAGTAATATGTTAGTGCTGTTTGCAAGAAACTTCAATGGAGGCTCTGCAAGCAGTAGACAGGATAAAATTCCACCACCAAAGCAGTGCAGCATAGCAGTAAACCAGCTTGAAATAGGATTCTTCCGTGCCAATGCAACTGCTCCTGAAATGGTAAAGTAAAATATGGTCTGAGATCACTATATATTTATTAAACAAGCCCTAAAGTACAAGTTGCACCAAAGAAATAAACTTCTTAATTTATAATTTTCAATAACTATTATTCATAGATGTGCCAATCAAAATCATTAAAAACCTTATATTTTATTCTTTAAAGCAAGACTGGAAACATTTTGTTACTGGGTGATATTTGGCACTTTGCCACCTTTAAAATACTCTTCTGTTCAGGCTGTCATTGCCAGTTTTCTAATAGATTATTATAAACAATATTCTCACTTACTGTCTCCTTTCACCCCAAACCCTACAGTAAGTACTCCCAGACAATAGGCCAAAGTGATTTGTTAAGAAAAATTTATACTCTTAAGTATATTATAAAGAAGCTGAAATAAATAAACTAAGCTTTCAACAAAACAGGTCAGAAACAGAGTAACAAAATAAAACCAAAGGTGAAAGGTTTCTTAGGAATAGATATTTATACTTTCTCAACATGAGTCCTAACTAATTACTTATTAATTGTAGAGGGAAATCATAACTTCAAAGCCAGGAAACCTTGCAGACATCAGTCATCAGTGTAAATACATCAAATGACTCCTGAGATAATGCACTGAGAACACATCATCACTTCTATGGTTTTCTTTTCTCTTTTTTTTTTTTTTTTTGAGACAGACTTTCACTCTCTTGCCCAGGCTGGAGTGCAGTGGCGCGATCTCCGCTCACCACAACCTCCGCCTCCCGGGTTCAAGCAATTCTCCTGCCTCAGCCTCCTGAGTAGCTGGGACTACAGACGCATGCCATCACATCCTGTTAATTTTTGTATTTTTGGTAGAGATGAGGTTTCACTATGTTGGCCAGGCTGGTCTGGAACTCCTGACCTTATGATCTGCCTGCCTTGGCATCCCAAAGTGCTAGATTACAGGCATGAGCCACCACACCCAGCCACTTCTCTGGTATTTCTGACAAAAATATACAACCTGAACTAATCAAATCAGACAAGCCCAAACTGAGGGCTACTCTGAGAAAACAAACATCAACAACTGGCCTACATTTTTTAAATGCTGAAGTCAAAAAACACACCAAAAAAGACAAATAAAACATTCTAGATTACATGAAAATTTTCTCTAACTCAAATTATATTTATTTATTTATTTATTTATTTATTTTTGAGACTGGGTCTTGCTCTGTCACCCAGGCTGGAGTGTAGTGACGTGCTCTCAGCTCACTGTAACCCCAGCATCTGGGTTCAAGCGAGTCTCATGCCTCAGCCTCCCAAGTAGCTGGGATTACAGCCATGTGCCACTACACCAGGCTAATTTTGATGTTTTTAGTAGAGACAGGGTTCCACCATGTTAGCCAGGCCCAGGAGACAGAGAAAAGAAAAAAAAAAAAAACTTACACTATTAGCCCAAACTGAAAACTATAGTCAATCACATGCCAGGGTTCAGGAGGATTCACATGTTTGTTCACATGAGACAAATGGAGGTAAACAAACAAAAAAAATTAATCCCACTTGTTATATTACCTGATGTCTTTCATGTCTTTGCTTATGAAGTAAAAGTTACATAGAAAGGCGGAGTATTATCTTTCCTGGGATTTAAAGCCTAAAACGTGAACCAAACAAAAATGGGATGTAGTCCTTCACACCTTAGGTAGAAAAAGAGTTAATCCCCTTTATCCTTTTGCCTCCAGTGGCTTTTTTTTCCAGGGGAATAGGGGTAGTCGCTCCCTGTCACCCAGGCTGAAGTGCAATGATATGATCTCGACTCACTGCAACCTCCATCTCCCATGTTCAAATGATTCTCCTGCCTCAGCCTCCCATGCAGCTGGGATTACAGGCACCTGCCTCCACGCTCAGCTAATTTTTGTATTTTTAGTAGAGACAGGGTTTCACCATGTTGGCCAGGCTGGTCTCAAACTCCTGACCTCATGATCCGCCAGTCTTGGCCTCCCAAAGTTCTGAGATTACAGGTGTGAGCCTCCAGTGGCATTTTTATGATCTAGGCAGACAGTACAAATGATCAGATATAAATGGGGTAGGAAAGCAGACAGTAAGGTATTAAACGTGGTAGAGTACATACCAAAACAAAGTCTCAAGGAGTAGCATGTCTGACAGGGTAAAGATGTGAAGAACTCTGATAGTAGTATATATATGAATTATAGTTTACTGTAGGTGTGAGTTCTAGAGAATCAATCACTGGAGGATAGGAAAAAGTTGCCAATTAAGTAAAGCATACATATACTAAGTAAAAATCTAAAATAAATAGTGTTGGAATAGGAGAAGGACACACATATTAGCTCTTCAGTTCTGAATATGAAAAAGGAATGCTGACCACATTGAGTAATATGAGTTACTCAATGCATCTACTGACAGAACATGAACAAATGTATCTTAAAATGAGTTAGAAGAAAAAAAGACATATATGGGCTGTAAAAAAAAAAATTACCATAGAAAATAAAGTGATTAAGATCCAGAAGATTCAAGCGAAATACACAACATTTAAGAATTAACTACTAACCGGGCGCGGTGGCTCACACCTGTAATCCCAGTACTTTGGGAGACTAAGGCGGGTGGATCACGAGGTCAAGAGATCGAGACCATCCTGGTCAACAAAGTGAAACCCCGTCTCTACTAAAAATACAAAAAATTAGCTGGGCATGGTTGTGCGTGCCTGTAATCTCAGCTACTCAGGAGGCTGAGACGGGAGAATTGCCTGAACCCAGGAGGCGGAAGTTGCGGTGAGCCGAGATTGCGCCATTGCACTCCAGCCTGGGTAACAAGAGCGAGACTCCGTCTCAGGAAAAAAAAAAAAAAAAAAAGAATTAACTACTGAAGAATACAGAGCAATTTTCTATAGTATAATGTAAACATTTACTCCAATAGACTTGGAAATCTAAAAGAAACAGATGATTCCTGAAAGAAATATAAATGACCAAAATGACTTAAGTTTGGATTGGAAAAAAAGTAAGATTTACCCATTAAAATACACCAAGAAACATAAAACTACATAGTTAAAGTCTACAAATATCAAAGAACAGCAATACCTATTATACAAACCATCCCAAGCTTTAAAAATGGAAAGCTTCCCAATCTATTTTACAATAACAGCATAACCTTGGGCCCAAACTGGAAAAGGATAACACAACAAAATAACCTAAAAAGCTCATTTCTATTATAAACATAAATGCAAAAATTTTACATGAAGTATTACCAAATCAAAATCTCTAATGAATTAAAATAATGTATCAAGTAGTTTAGTCCAAAAATATAAGGATGATTCATCATTTTTTTTAAATGTATTAATGTAATTCACTATGTTACATTTTTAAACAGGAAACAAAATATGATCTCAATAGATTTTGAAATAAATAGCACTTGATAAAATATGTCACCTTCTCCACCAGGACAGTATAAAGATGTAAGAATATCCAGCCAGGCACGGTGGCTCACGCCTGTAATCCCAGATCTTTGGGAGGCCGAGGTGGGCAAATCATGAGGTCAGGAGTTCAAGACCAGCCTGGCAAACATGGTAAAACCCTATCTCTACTAAAAATACAAAAAAATTAGCCATGAGTGGTGGTAGGCGCCTGTAATCCCAGCTACTCGAGAGGCTGAGGCAGATGAGTTGCTGGAATCTGGGAGGCAGAGGTTGCAATGAGCCAGGATCATGCCATTGCACTCCTGCCTGGGTGACAGAGCAACTCGGTCTCAGGAAAAAAAAAAAGACACAAGAATATCCTAGAACGCTGGGAATAAAATAAAACTTCCTTAAAGTGTCCCTCATAAAAACCCTATAGCAAACATCACACTTGATAAAACTTTAAAAGCATTCTCATTAAAATCAGGAATATCATAAGACAAAGTCACTATCATTAGTATTCAATGAAACATTCTTTAATATAAAGAGGCTAGAAAAAGAAATGAAGGTTCTTGGCTATAAGCAACAAAAACCAACAAACTTAAGCGATAAGGAATTCATTGGAAGGATTTCAGTAGTTCACAGGAAAAAAATAAATCACAGGCTAAAGAAAACAAAGGGCAAGAATGAAGGGCACTCCAGAGGTCTATGCAGGAGGGATGATCTTACTAAAAGTCTTAGATTAGAACCAGTTCAGTAAGTACAGAGCATACTCTGTTGAGATCATTGAGTTCCAACTATTCTATCCAGCCATAATCAGACTTGCAAAGGAACATCTGTATCACACAAAAATACTGCAGATAGATTAAGAACCTATTTTTTTTTAGAACTATAGAATTGTTTTCAAAAAGATCAAGGATGAGTATTTTTATAATCTTAGGCCTGAGAAAGACCTTCTTAAAATACATAAATCGCAATAGTGACATAGGAGAAAAAAATTAACAGATTTTTTTATGAAAGAGTAAAATATTATGAAATTGTTTAAACTTCTGCAATAAGACTACATAAACAAAGTTAAAACATAGCAAGAGTTATGGAAAAAAAAGGACTACAGACATAAATAGAATTAATATCCATGATCCACAAAGAGAGTCAATAGAAGACAACAACCTACAGCCCAATAGGAAAAGGGACAAAAAAAAATTAAGCGATTTACAGGAAATATAAATGACCAATAACAGTCACAAACTCATCAGTACCTTGACAAATGTAAATGAAATACTGTGCTCTGATCATCAGAATGGCACAGTATTGAAGACCTATAATAGAACTGTCAAAGGAAATGGGCAGTCTAACACACTTCAAGTAAAAGGTTAAACAGGTACACTCAACACTCTGGTGTGTGAATTCTATCATTTTTACCTCTTTACAAGTACTGGTACTGTATGATACTGTATTCGTATTCAATAATCATGTGGTTCTCAAAGTCTGGAATCTCAGGAGCCTTCTACATCCCTAAAAATTAGTAAACAGATTAATGGTTGCCAAGGATGGGAGATCGCTTACTACGTAAGTGCAGGAAGGAATTTGGGGTGGGTGAGAAAACTTGTTCTGTATCTTGATAGTGATGGTGGTTAAATGACTGTATGTGTCTGTCCCAAAACACAGAAGTTTGTATTAAAAATGATTAATAGACTGTATGTCAATTACATCTTTTAAAAAAACCTGACTTAAAATTTCTTCAGAATCCCAAGGAGTTTTGTATATGTGGGTTTCGCGTATCAATGCTTAGCATCTTAGAAATTATAACTGCGAAAATTTTAAATAGTTGTGGAGGCTAAAGCAACTCAAACATCTGCCATGTTGAACTATGATTAACCCCAAGTTCTGGGACTACCGCTAAGATTTATATTTTATCTACTGTTCCTTGTGTAGTAGTATATACTTATCGTAAATCCTGCTCTTAGGTCAAACAACTTGGACACTATGTCACTTATAAATCCTGCCCTTAAGCAACTGTCCTACACATCCCGGGTTGGGAGTTGGGGGCTGGGGTAATGGGCATGATCCACTGTCTCCTCGGGGCCACTCAAGACATGGCTTCTGTTCCTAAGTCCCTTTTAAAGGTTTCTTTCTGAAAAACTGGATTCCTCAGACTCTCAGCTTCCTCTGCCTCTGGGGGTAGAACTGCATAAACTTGTCCATTGTGCAACAATTGTTCTTCATGCTTTCATTTTTTAAAAAAATAAATGCATTAAATGTTAACATAAATAATGTATTCTTCCAGCCTGGCCAACATCGCGAAACCCCATCTCCATAAAAATACAAAAATTAGCCGATTGTAGTGACAGGTGCCTGTAATCCTAGCTACTCGAGAGGCTGAGGCAGGGAAAATTACTTCAACCTGGGAAGCGGAGGTTGCAGCAGTGAGCCGAGATCGCGCCACTGAACTCCAGCCTGGGCAGCAGAGAGAGACTCAGTCTCAATAATAATAATGTATTATTTATGAAAAATAACTTTTCCAAAACAAAAAACATTTAGTGACAAGAGTCACACTGTTGTACATTTTAACAAATGTCTGGCTTTAAATAGAAAACTGTTAGATTCTCAAATCTGCTTCCTTCTGTTACGGTATCACAACTCAGCCACTAGAAAACTCCACTGTATACTTCTGAGAAAAAGAGAATGAAAAAGATAATATCTCTATATCATTATTAAAGAAATTTTGACCCAGCAGTGTCAGAGAAGCCCATGGGTCCCTGGAACACAATTTGAATCTGATTCCGCCTATACAAAAAAAAAAACTTTTTAAAAAAAATCAAATTCTGAACATGTAGTAGCAACAAAACTTACTTTTTTCAAATCAAAGAAATAATATCTTAGGCAGATATGTGTTCTACTTTAATACAGTAATACCATCCTTATTCCAGGTCAAAATTTGTACCAATGATTTAAACTGAGCTACTGAGATCCATACAACTAAAAGAACGGTAGAAAAACTACAAAAGTCAAGCGGGATTTGAGCAAAGACACCTGGTGTAAAATCCAAGAAAATACAACTACTGTCCCTGGATCGCATGGTTAAAAGAACTCAGAATTTCAAGACTCTATCCCCATTCTGCAGATAGTGAAAGCATGTCAGTTTATCCTACTCGTACAGCGTCCGTCGTGACTGTGAAAACGGGAAGGCACGCGTTCTCACGTGTTGGCAGGGCGCTGAGACACTGCGTGAAGCGGAGGTCTGGTCTGGCCACAGGAGGCTGCTTAAGTTTCAGGGCTCGTACAACTTTCAACATTACAGAGTGGTCCGCAACCATCTGATACTCCAAGAGACTAAGTCAGAAACCCGCTGTCTCCTCACGTGACTTTTAAACACTGTGCGAGCAAGCGGCGGTACCTCCAGGAGACCGTGCAAGCCCTGGGCTGGCGACCGTCCCGCGCTTCTGAAACGCGGCGGCGGCGGCTCGTCAGTCCCGGGACTCCGGCCGGCGGTGGGCAGGGTCGGCCCCGCTCGTCCCGGCTGCGGCGTCGCGGACCCCAGGCCACGCCTCCTTTGGCGACTACGAGGGCCTCCCTCCCCGGCCTCAGTGTCCCCATCTGCACTCAGTAAGTCGGACCGGCCGGCCCTTGGCGCCCCTCCAACTCTACCATCGAACTTTCTGGGCTAGCGGCCGCTCGGCCGCCCACCCGACTTAGACGGTGTCCTCGCCCTCAGGGGCGCTCGGAGGGGTCCGGCCCGCCGCGCCCCGCACTCACCCGGCTGACTTTTCACAGCCATCACGGACACTAGATAGTGCGCGAAGTCAAAAAAGGGAAACATGGACGTGCGGGAGAAGGCCAGAGCCAAGTCGTCCCACGGAGAGTCCATAACGACGACCGACCGCAGCAGCCGAACCAGCCGCGGATACGGGCTCCCTGCGCGCGCGGCGAGACACAGGAGAGGGGACGGCCGCAGCCGCGCTGAGCCGCGCCGACTCCAGCTCTGCGCGTGCGCCCTGGCGCCGAGGGGCGGGGCCGCGCGTCGCAGGAGGTGCAGGCCCTCGGCGGGTGGGCGGGGCGAGCGGGGTCCTGGCAGCTACAACCCGGCTCTGGCCGGGTTCTCCTAATAAGGGTCCAGCTTCTCCGTCCTGGACGCAGTGCAGGAGCTGGAAAGCGGGCAGGTGAACAGAACATGGTCCTCAAGGGGAGACACTCAGAGTTGGATTTATTTCTGTCGATTGATGTCATTCACCTAACATTTATCGAGCAACCACGGTGCAAGTCACACTGTGACTTACTGGAGATATAAAAATAAAACGGTAATATCCTGTCCTCAAGAAATATGCGTTCCCTAAAAGAGATTTTTTTATAAAAAGAAGGAAACGCACATAATGGTACAAAAGCAGGTACTGAGAGGTATAGATGCCGTGCGAGGGCAGTTCCGAGGGGAAGATTACAATTCCGGGAAGTGGGTAAAGTGACAATGTGAGCCGGACTTTAAAAGTTAAGTGAGAAACAAATGCTAGGTGGGAGATGGAGGGAGGCGTTCTGGGTTGACTACGCAGTGAGAAATGAGGCAGGCAAAAGTCCTCGGATGGCAGACAAAGCCAGGCAGTTTGGCTCCAGAGGTTAAATTCTTGATCAATCCCTGTATTATGCTCAGAGCCAGAGTCCCTTCTCCTAACCATTACGCTAACTGGGTGGTTTGGTGGCGGGTGAGGGAGCGCAGGTGCAACCAAGCAACAATATTGAGAACAGATTGATGAGAAGCGAATGAGGACGGAAAATCGGAGGGTATTCACCGGTCCGAGCAAAAGGTAGTGGAAGCTGTGGCAGCAGGAATTGAGACCCAATTGTGGGAAACATGAGTAGAAGCAGAATACGGTCGGTGGTGTCAATCTGAACAGGAGGGAAAGGGAGCATTTGTCAAAGAAAATGAGGAATGGTTGAGGAGGAGGATGGTGGCTGCATTCAGATAAATAGGAAACAAGAAGGAGTAGGTTTGGCGCACCTTTATTTGACGTGTGAACAGATCATGCTGGCACCAGGAAATTGGAGACACGTGATTAGCTGCTAGGTAGGTGACAGCTTCATGGGAGTATGCACTGCAAAAGGAGAAATTTTTTTTCTGAATATTTATTCATTAATTTTAATTCATTTAACAAAATGGTTTTTGCGTGCCTATTATGTAGCCAGCATTTTGCTGGATGTCAGAAGTACTGGCCTAAACACTAAGTATTTAAAACGTAGGAAAATTTAAGTAAAACTCTACATTACTTATCAAGAAAAAATAGACTTTTTCAAATACTTTTCACGTGTGGTTTTCTAAGCAAGCACTTCCCATAGAGAAATGTCTTTAGACCTGTAGCACACTTTTTTTTTTTTTAAGACGGAGTCTCTGTCACCTGAACTGGAGTGCAGTGGCACGATCTCAGGTCACTGCAACTTCCGCCTTGCCGGCTAATTTTTTTGTATTTTTAATAGTGACAGGGTTCAAACAATTCTCCTGCCTCAGCCTCCCAAGTAGCTGAGATTACAGGTGCCCACCACGCCTGACTAATTTTTGTATTTTTAGTAGAGACAAGGTTTCACCATGTTGACCAGGCTGGCCAGGCTGGTCTCGAACTCCTGGACTCAGATGACCCACCAGCCTCAGCCTCCCAAAGTGCTAGGATTACATGCATGAGCCACCACGCCTGTCCTGAATAACAGTTTTGACTAAACCTGTTGGAGGCACTTTTTAGTTCAAAAATATGTGAATCTAATTTTTATAAACCAAGTTTTGCAACAGCAGCATGATTAACATTCAGGGCTGAACAATTCTTTGTCATGAACTGTGCTTGCATTGTATGACATTTAGCAGCATCACTGGCACTAGATGCCAGGACCACGTCCACGTGTGTGCACACATGCATGCACGCACGCACACACATACACACATTCCATTTGCGACAACCAAAAATGTCTTGGCGTTGCCAAATGTCTTCTGAGTCAGGGGCAGGGGTTGGGGGGCACAAGATCACCCCTGATTCAGAACTGCTGTTATAAATGAATAAATGCTTTCTTCAGCAATATACGCCTCTATTAATACAAACAATATGGTCATGTCACTAATGTTAATTATATCTTTAATTCTAGAAAAATTAATATAACCATTCTTCATCTCAGTTTACTCATCTATCTTCCTGGGTCAAACTGACGATATCCTGAAACCAGTATCATACATGCAATCCTAGCTCTTTCTTCCCTGCAATACTGCTTTCTAACCACTAAGTGGCGTGCCTTTTACTTTGGGAAATCTATAATAACTTTTTATTTTTTATATTAATACATCATACTTGGAAATATTTATGGGGTACATGTGAAATTTTGATATATGCATATGATGTGTTATGATCAAATCAGGGCATTTAGCTGTCCACCGCCTTGAACGCTTATCATTTCTTTGTGTTGGGAACATTTCAAATCATCTTTTTTGTTTTCTCTTTTGAATCTTAAAGGACTAACAATCAAATCATCTCTTATAGCCATTTTGAAATAAACAATATATTATTGTTAACTACAGTCACCCTACAGTGCTACTGAACTTTTTAAAGGACTTTAGAGTCCACGATTAGGAAGTTTCATATTAAAGGGACCAATTGCACTCCTAAACTTTAGTTTCTTGGTAAGGCATTTTCATTCTAAAGTTATTTTGATAAGCACTTGATAGCCACACTGTATCAAATGATAATGTATTAATATGTGACATTTAAGACAAAGTATATGTAATTTGAATTCAACCTTTTCTAATATTCAGGATTATCATGGAGAATTAGCTAGAGAGCACCAATTGCCCTCAAAATACCCACTGAATTCAATCAGTACAATTAGATGCCAGTGCATGAAATTTAAGTGAAAACAGTTCAAGCATACACTCAACTCTTTAGACTCAGCATGTATCTAATAATAGTGCCTTTGATACTGTGTCTTGGAAAACCTGACTTGGCTCACTTATTTATTGCACTGGAAACTAAAATCCTTTTCTATAATTGTCACTCATACCACTAATATAAACTAGTAAAATAAAAATGCTCTCTATGTATAACACGTACAACCTTACCTGATTAAAAACCTGATGCTACTATGGGACTATCTCTAATTTTCATCAGCATAAGGACTGCCGAAACTGTAGCCACTTACCAGCGCCATAGCTGTCAGTTGTCTGTGGCCATCAACACTTAAGTTCAACATGTTACTCTGCAACATCTCTGTTCAAGAGTAAGCCGGGCGCGGTGGCTCAAGCCTGTAATCCCAGCACTTTGGGAGGCTGAGGCGGGTGGATCACGAGATCGAGAGATCGAGACCATCCTGGTCAACATGGTGAAACCCCGTCTCTACTAAAAATACAAAAAACTAGCTGGGCGTGGTGGCGCGTGCCTGTAATCCCAGCTACTCAGGAGGCTGAGGCAGGAGAATTGCCTGAACCCAGGAGGTGGAGGTTGCGGTGAGCCGAGATCACGCCATTGCACTCCAGCCTGGGTAACAAGAGCAAAAACTCCGTCTCAAAAAAAAAAAAAAAAGAGTAGCAGGTACCATTAAATCACAGAATAAATGACTTTTGGAAGTTGATTAAACCCTTTAAAAAAAAAATAGTAACAGAGTACAAGTAATAGAAAACTGTTCCCTGCAGCTTAAGCAAAATGAGAAATTTGCTGAAAGTCTACTAGGGAATTTCATGAAAGCCAAGAAAAGTTGGACAGCTAAGACCCAGGAAGAGGAAGAAGCAGAGCATTTCTGGGGCCAGCAGCAGTGGGGGCAGGGGGTGGGGGATGTGCACTTTTCTCAGTGTTTGATAATAATCAATGGCAACATTTCTAAGCTTCTGGGTCCCCCTATTGAATATTGCCAGGAGAGAGACCCTGGCCTGACCCGGGACAGCTGTACACCCCTGGTTTATCAGTTCTGATGGGAGGCTGGGTGTCGGGGTTCAGTCAGGCTAATAGGAGAAATTTTAGCTGTAGAGAATATACACAAGCTCTTTTGGAAGGCCTGAGGGTCTTTACTATTGTACTTGGCTGAACTGGCTGAAGGCAGCCTTGTCCCCTTAGTTAAATAGAGTAGAAACAAAGGAATGTGAGTTTACCTAACTAACTTGTTTGCTCATGTGGTCCTAAAATCAACCTTTGATCTTTCCAGATGGCTCTCTCAGGGGGAAGTTGACCAGAGATATTACCCAGTAATGGTGTTTGTTTTAGGCCTGGGAACTTGGCCTTTAATCTCTACCCTCTAGAGGTGTTGACTCAAAGCCTTTGTCATTTAATGTGTGCTGAATAAAGACCAGGAATGCCGGTGACCGTTAACGACTTCAGGTGAGAGGCCACAGACACCCCTAGCCCACTCTTTCACTGTATTCTGTGTCTGAGTGAATTTATTCATCTGTCATGGGGTCAGGGCCTGCCTGTCGCACCCTAACAGCTGGGTCACATAGTTCAGATCTGAAACATTCCTGTGTATTAGAGGCAATTTCCTGAAAAAGGTGGGAGCAGCTGGGTGCAGTAGTTCACACCTGTAATCCCAGGACTTTGAGAGGCCAAGGCAGGAGGATTGCTTGAGCCCAGGTGTTTGAGACCACACTGAGCAACATAGTGAGACACTGTCTCAAAAAAAATAAAGGAAGAGAAAGGAGGGAGTTAGGTAGACATCCCAAGAGATGTCTCGTATGATCATTTTCTTTACCCATTTATTTTATTTTATTTTATTTATTATTTATTTATTTATTTTTTCAAGTGAGTCTTGCTCTGTTGCCCAGGCTGGAGTGCAATGGTGCGATGTCAGCTCACTGTAACCTCCACCTCCCAAGTTCAAGCAGTTCTGTGCCTCAGCCTCCTGGGTAGCTGGGATTACAGGCACCCGCCTTTATGCCCAGCTAATTTTTGTATTTTTAGTAGAGATGGGGTTTCACCATGTTGGCCAGGCTAGTCTCCAACTACTGACCTCAAGTGATCCACCTGCCTCAGCCAGCCTCCCAAAGT